GAAGGCTTCTCGGCAACTGTCTCTGTAGTTCAGGTCGGCAAGGCATCTAATTGCTCTTTTTTGCTTTAGGAGTACTCTTTCCAGGTTGCCTTTTGATGTTCCACCCCAAGTCGCAATGCCATATCTGAGGTGGGACTCGAATAGAGCAAAATATGCAACTTTGGCTACTTCTGGGTTGCAAGCTTGCTTGATCCTACGTATAACGTAGAGACTTGAACTTAGCTTTTTGCAGAGCTGGTCTATGTGGGGTTTCCATGATAGCTTGGAGTCAATTATGATGCCTAGGTATTTTGTGGTATTTTGTGTTTGTAGTCCCGGTATTGTAATGTCTGTGTTGTTGCGTTTGGTGGTGAAAGTCATTTGAACGGTTTTGCTTTCGTTTAGAACTAGGTCGTTGGAGGTACAGTATTGCTTTGTTCTCTGGAGTTGTGTGTTGGTTTTCGCTTCCAGATTTTCCATTGTTAGCGAATTTCCCTATAGGGAAGTAGCTATTACCGTAGGTGGCACGATAAGACCTAGACCCGGGACCGATTTACTTTTTCATTTTGATGTCCCCAGAGGCCAAAAACACCATTCGTTCAAATTTTTATATATGTATATATATATAGACTTATATATATATATATATACGTCCGTGAACGCGATAACTTGAGTAATTTTTGTCCGATTTTGATGAAATTTGGTTTAAAGGTGTAAAGCGGGATAAACTTGAATGAGTTCGCGAACCAGCACGATCGGACCATGGGAACGGGGCTTTACGGGGGGTTTTATGGGGTAAAAATAGGTTTTTCTCACTTTTGACCCTCAAAACACAAAATTTCCCGATTTCTCTTAAGATCTTTTTAAAGAGCTTAAAAAAACAAATAATTTAGTATATAAAAGTATTTTTGTTCAATTATTAGTAACGAAGAAAATTAAAAAAATTGTAAATTTGAAATTCCCATGTTAATCTTACAGAGAATATTGTCAAATGTTGTAGTTTGCTTGTTTATGGATATATTTTGATCAAACTTGGCAAATTTGTTTATTTTTTACTAAGCTATTGATATTTTACTCAAAAACACACTTTATTAGTTTCCTTGTAGCAGCAAACCTAGGTACTCGTTAAACCTAATGTTATTAAAATATATTTAATAGAAAATCAATTCAGACAAATGGAAATTCGCTTAGTCGGCAGGTTTGCTGCGGCGGGGGTATTTTTTCCGCAAATGTGAGAACCGTGTCATCTGCGTACATGGTGGTGTGTAACCGTGTCATCTGCGTACATGGTGGTGTGTCCATCTTCCCCAATCCAACTAGGTAGGTCATTCGTGAGAAGGAGGAAAAGGACTGGGCCAAGTACTGATCCTTGGGGTACTCCTCTTTGCACGTCTACAGCTTTGGATTGGGCCTTATACTTTGTGTTGTTCTTTATGTAGGCTATTTCCACAAGCTGTTTCCGGTTACTAATGTAGCTTTTAAACCATTCTGCTGTTCTTCCTCTCACGCCTAGTGTTTCCAGCTTGAGTAGAAGAAGTTTGTGGTTTAGGCAGTCGAAAGCTTTACTAAAATCTAGGAAGAGGCTTGTTGAAGTGCTGCCTTCTTCTAGTTGGTCTAGTATGTGCTCCGTCAGTTGTATTAAGGCTGTGGCTGTCGATCTGCCTTTGATAAATCCATGCTGTTGACTATTGAGAAGGTTGTGTTCTTGAAGATGGTGTAGGAGTTGGGCTAGTACTATCTTTTCGATTATTTTTGAAAATGTTGATATTAGGGAGATTGGCCTGTAGCTGTTTCTTTCTATCGTTGGTCCATTTTTGTATTTTGGGTAGACTTTAGCTATTTTTAATTTATCTGGGAATTTTCCTTGTGAGAGTGATTTATTTATGAGGTCTGTCAGGGGTATTACTATTTCATTTTTACAGTTTTTTAGAAGTTTAGCTGATACCTCATCAGTTCCGGATGAATTTTTCATCTTTAGAGATTGTTGAGCATATGACAATGTGAGTGTTGTCCTCGTTGTCTTGAGCTGTAATAAAGTTGTTAAAGGATAGGTTTCTATTTTGTAGTCTCCTGATTATAGTAGGTCTAGCTTCGGGTGGCAGTGTTTTGTATTCACATGATGTTGGGTGTTGTTTGTCAATAAGGTGGATGCGGCATGTGTGCTGTAGATCCTCATCTGTCATTAATTGTGTGCTTATCAGCGGGGTATCTTCTGGTGGAAATGCAAAAATCCTTTGTCCTTCGAGGCTACGATGGTCTTCCTCTGTAATCATAGATACTCTGCCGCTGTTTGTGTTCACAGATTTACTCCTAATGAATTTCCCTGGATGTGCTCTTGTTTCGGTGGATTCAGCATCTTCATCGTCATTGAGTGGAATAAGAGAGGCTGTTTGGCCCAGGTCCAGTGTGGAATTGATTGTTGTGTTTTCAATCAGTTTTTTGGCGGGGTTTGTCTGTTTCCCTCTGTATTAGGTGTATTCAGTTTTTTTGGCGGGGTTTGTCTGTTTCCCTCTGTATTAAGTGTATTCAGTTTTTTTGGCGGGGTTTGTCTGTTTCCCTCTGTATTAAGTGTATTCAGTTTTTTGGGCGGGGTTTGTCTGATTCCCTCAGTTTCAGTCTGTTTGTGACAGCAGTAGTTTTTGTCTCTTTTGTGTCATGAGTTCTCTCTTTTTAGTTGCTTTTTATTCAATTTTTCCATATTCCCTTCTAAGGCCTTGATTTTATTTTTTATGTGTAGTAGTTCTGTGTATATCGTTGTGTTTGGAGTTGACGGGAATGCATCAGAGATCGTTGTTTGGGTTTCAGAGTCTGTGTATATTGGTCTAGCTGGGTTTCTATCTACGACAGGCTTATTTTGTTCAAGTTCTTTAACTTTGTTTTGGAGTTGTTTGATGTTTGTTTCATATCTAAGGATAGTTTCAGTACTCTCCTTGTCATGTTCCTCGAACATTTTTTCTAGGCCATATCTCATTTGTTTCTCCTTTATCAGTGCTTTATCTAGTTCATCTGTTTTTTCAATGAGGGAGTTATATTTGAATAGGATGTTTTCCTTTTCAATAATGCATTCCTCTAGTTGCTGTTGGTATATTAAGGAATGGTCTTTGGAGTTTTTCAATTCCTTTATTTCATTTTCTAGAATAATGTACTTGTTTGTCATAGCTACTAAGTTTTGTTTGAGTTCTTTATTCTCCATTAGTAGCGCGCTGCCAACCTCGAATGCTAAAGATAGTGATGTTTCAAGGTCAGCTGATTCACTTAGGTTACTAATCCTTTGCTCTAGTTCGTCTACACTGGGGTTTTGGACTTTGGTGTCTTCGGTACACGAATTACATTTCCAGCTTTGTATCTCTAGGTTCGTAAGCGTTTTCAGTTTTTTATCCGTCCATTTCAGGCATTTGGAGTGATACCATTGATTGCACTCTCCGGTACACAGAATGCCTTTGTGTTTAACCCCTATGTTGCATATTCCACATGGATATTTTGACATGATTTATTTTCTGATTGTCAATTTTTAGGGGGGTTTAGTTTTTGGTGGTTGTAAAAGAAATTTTTTCTTGGTTTGGTCAAATTGTTTAAGTGTTTTTTATCAGGAATATTATGTCAATTGATAACATATGTGCAGTCTTGCATTAGTGATTTGAAAGCACAGCTCAGCTATGTTGGCATTGGTCAGTTATTAGCAGTATTTTGGGTGGGTTAGCAAAGATGGAATGTGCTGATTATGCTCTGTCAGCATTACTTGTCACCAGCTGTCACAGTTTTAATTGGTTTATTCTAGTTCTGTAAATAGTGTATTATTCATAATATCTTAGAGTTTTTCAGTTTATACTGTCAGAAGATTATACAAATTTATTTTGGTGCTTGATTCAATATTTTAAAGCTGAAGTCAGCAAGGTATGTTGGTGAGTTGTAAGCACTTGTGCAGCAAATTTGTTTTCAGATTGAATCTACTCTTTAGGTATGTAGGTCTTAGTTTCTCATGATTTTTGTGTACTTACAGTTGATGAGTACAGTTTTGTGTGAAGTTATGTAGGTAATTTGTTGGTTTTACCACTTAATTCACTGAAATAATGGGGAGCACTAGTACAGTTGGTGATGAGTGTCCGCCATCTTGGATTCAAAATTGTTATTATATTATACACTAGCTGGCCCGACAGACGTTGTCCTGTCCTAATGTGGTTTTATGTCAAATGCTCGTTCATTTTCAAGATGAGCTCGTTCGCATAACTCAATCACGTCCTGGTTGAAGTTCGTTCGCTACGCTCACTCACCTTTAGTTTGGAGCTCGTTCGCTGCGCTCACTTGCCTGAAGGTTAGCTGGTTCGCTACGCTCACTCACCTTTTGGTTGCAAATTAGCTGCTGTCATAAATTTAAAAAATAATACAGTAGTGCTGCACCCTGTCGGTAAACCTATTAACTTTTTAATGCTATTGAACATCACAGAATCAAATTGTTTAGTTGAACCAGCTGTTAAGATTCTTTAATTCCATTTAAATATGAGTACTCATAAGGTTAACATGGGAAACTCCAGAGCCACTGGGGCGGAGCCATTTTGACGGATCTGCACCAAACTTCACACAAACCATCCTTGAATAATGCTTAATAATGCCTGAAAGTTTCATTACAATCTGTCGAGCGGTTTTGGAGTCCATAAAGGACAAACAAACAGACAAACAAACAAACATACAAACAAACATACATTGGATTTTTATATATATAGATTTATAAAATTTCTATTTTATATACATGTATACAAATTTTGAACGGATAGAGTTTTGGTCTCTGGAGACATCAATATTAAAAAGTAAATCAAAAGGTCTCTTGTCTAGGTTTTATTGTGTCTACTTCCCTATAGGGAAATTCGCTAAAAAAGACAATATGCTGCTGCACCCCGAATAAGTCAAATAAATGTTGGTAAAATATAATGTAAACTATAAATGTTTAATGGATCTGGTTTAGTCTTCTAAAATAAGCGTTTCTTGTAAAATGGTCTTACAATTTATGTTATTGTTTGTTATAGTTACAACAGATCCCAAACCAAGGAGAGTTAAAGAAAAACCAAACCCTAGAAGATCAGGAAGACTGAGGAAGCTGTTACCAAAACCATATCAAAGTGAACCTCTTAAAGTGATTCATGTAAAGGTTTTGCCCAACAAAATTGAAGAGACCGAAGAAGAAACTGACGAAGGAAATGATATGGAATTAGCTAAAGAGCTACCAAATTTAGAAGATCAAATTAATACTGTTGATGCAAATGATGAGGAGAAAGTTATAGATGATGGAGAGAAAGTCTCAAAGGAAGAAGAGAAAGTGGCAAACAATGGGGAGAAAAAGTCAAACGATGAGAAGAATGAGGCAAACGATGAGAATAATGAGACAAACGGTGAGGAGAAAGTGGCAAACGATGAGGAGAACGTGTTAAACAATGAGGAGAACATGTTAAACAATGAGGAGAGAGTGTCAAACGATGAGGAGAGGGTGTCTAACAATGAGGAGAATGTGGCAAACGATGAGGAGAGAGGGGCAAGTGAAAACATTGAACAGCAGACTGAAACTTTAGCTGAAGAAAATGTTGATGCATTAACCACAACTTCTGACAAAGAAAACGTTTCTAATGAAAATGTTCAAAAACAAGATTCTACAAATAAGCCAAACACCAGTGTAGCATCAGAATGTGAAAAAGAAGTTATTACTCCAAGACCTACACTACGAAAAAATATTAGTCGTTCAACGCCTAGAAGGAACAGTCATGTTCGGGCTTTAAGTTTTAACACTCCTCTAAAGACGATTAAGAGCAGAAAATCAAACACTTCGCCCAAAATGCCAAAAATTAAATTCTCCCCTCGTTCTTCTAAATTAAGTTGTGTTAAACGGTCCTCCCTGTTTAGTCCAAAAAATGACAAAGAACTTTCTCATTTAAGTGAAGAAGAAGAAAATGTTGAGGAAAACAATGCAAAGAATGACCAAAAAGAAATTGACAAAGAAAAAATTTACAACTTCTTAGATGATTCACAGCTAAGTAAAATACCAATTGCAACCAGAAGTCCTGCCCCAAAACTAAGTAGCGCTTGGCAAGAAGTAAATGATATTCAAATTACAGAGAAACCTGTGTGGGATGAAAAGATCCGTAGCTTTGCGTTAGGTGAATTTGAAGATCCAGCTCCTCCACCGAAAAAAAGACCTCAAGAAAAACTAATAGGAACTAAAAATGCAAGTTGCCCATCATCTAAAGATGATGAAAAGTCTCTCTGTGGTGGGAAGGCTCTTCAAAGTAAAAAAGGAAGTTTTACACCTGTTAAAAGTCTTGTGGAAACTAATAAAGTTCAAAATAGAAACCCTAAAAATGTTTTACAAAAAAACACAAATTCCTCCTCTAAAATATCAAGGCGAAAAACTGTTGAAAATAAAACCTGCTCTCCTTTGACTAAAACCAATCCCAGGGACCCAGTTTCAGATTCAAATAGGAACTCAGTACGTACAGAACACATTATGGAAAAAGAAAATCTCACTATCGTCTCAGATGTTCAAGAAAATGTGGAAGACCAAGTTCAGAAACTATTGGAACCTACTGATATTCAAGATAAAGGAGAACACGAAAATATCAACACAAATAATGTTCTGTTGGAAGATCTTGTGGTGTCATCACAAAGCTGTTTTCCCCCGTCCAACGATGAAATCAGAACTGAAAGCCTACATGAAAACAATGCTTCTAATCAGATTTATGATTTAAATAAAAGTAAAGTCGCTTTGGAAGACAAAAATAATCACATTTCCTGTACCGAGAGTATGTCCTCTACTGTTATTCAGTCCAATGTGGTTGTATTAGAAACTCCCCTAAAAGAGTATCAGGTTTGCCATACAAAAATGTTTGACCTTACTACACCACTTGTGAAATCAATCAGACAAGAGACTTCAATTCTTGAACAGGATTTACTATTAACTCCCAGTTTACCACCAACACCACAGTTGAATTCATCTCCAAAAACCATTTCTAAGACACCATGTAAAACTTCAGGTAGTTCACCAATTGCTAGCTCATTGCAAATGCTATCTAATAGGGGTCAAGACAATGGGAGTAGTGTTAATAAAAATAAAAAACCTGAACTAAGTCCTCCAAAACATATGATTGGTGAAAGCGATATTGAAGATGGACAGCGCAACTCGCCTACCCTAAACACTCAACATATAATTAAAGACAATACTAGTCATGAAAACAGTGAAAAAAGATCATTTGTGTCCACTAGTACAGATTCCAGTGAATGTGAAGATCACAGTCAAGCTCCCTGCCTGGATTTCTCTACGTCAAAGAGCAAAATAAATAGTTGTAAACAAAATAATAAAAATAACAAACCGAATCGTAATAGGAGTCGTTTCTATTCTACTACAGAAAGTAGTGATGATGAAACAACTGCGAAGGTTGTGCTAGATACGAGCTCTAGAAAAACAAAGTTATCTAAAGTAGCATCATTATTATTAGAAAATGAACGCAAAAATTTAAATAAAAAATATAAGAAAACTGATGTTAAGAAAACAGTCAAAACAGTTAACAAAAAACAAAAACTGCATTCTCCTGAAAATGCAAGTTCTGGGAGTGTTGCTAACGAAAGGAACAAAATAACCACAAGTAGAAAGAAGAGTGTAAAACAAAATGTCACTTGTGGTAAAAAATTGTCAGTTATCAAAGATAAATCTCCAAAAATGAGTTTCAAAAGTAAAGAAAATAGTGTAAAACAATCAACACCTGAAAACAAGCGACAACAACTGCAGAGTGTTTTGTTAAGACAAGAACAGAAAATGATATTCGGTGATCGCATTCCTTCTACTTCAGATTCTGATAGTGATACAGACATATTTGAAAAAAAGAAATCTGTAACTAAAACTAAATCTGAAAAATGTCCTCCAAAAAAGAAAAAGCGTGATCATATCAAACTATCCGAAGATAGCTCTAGTGAAAGTTCAAGTAAAAATAATTTGAATTCATCAAAATGTGTGAAGCTAAATACGGACAATGTCTCTGAAATATCTCCAAATAAGAAAAATGCAATCCCCTCATTATTACACACCACTAAATCAACTAATATAGATCTTAACAAAACTGTGCCTACAAAAAAGTGTCGCATAAAAAATAATCCATTTTCAGAGTCGTTTGAAATTCAGAGAAATAACCCTAAACCATGCGTTGACATTCCTCAGAAAGAAATTTCAAAAATCAAAGATACCAGTAATGAGATCTGCAGTAGTAGTTCAATACCTATAAATCCTTGCAACATATCTGATGGGATTGTTAAAGAATTGTCCTCTAAAAATGATTCAGAAGAAAATAAAAAATCAAAGCAACAATGTGGGTCACCAAGTAAACTCGCTACTCTAAAAAAGGATTCTGAACTCTTAAATGCAATAAAAACAGACGATTCATCAATTGGTAAAGTGTATCCTAAAAATGGTATGATTATTGACCAAATATTTGTATCTAATAAAACATGTATACAAAATTCTAACAGTGTCGAATTAAATAAATATAATGCAAAATATGAATCTTCTGAAACACTAAATGCAAGTGAAGACGTACAAAAGGAACTACCACACACAGATAGCAATGAAGATGAAAACGAAATATGTATAACAAGCACTAGTACATCTGAAAGAACAAATTTTACTGCAATGCTCGATCAGTTGGATCTTAATCGTCGAGACACTTATCAAGTAGATGAGGGCAATGTTATACTATCCTATTCCCAAATAATTCAACATTATTATTATTCTCCTCTTAATTGTGGTGAAATTGGACAGTGTGAAAATAAAGAAACAACTCAATTAAATTTTGGCAACACTTCTCTTTTGGATAATGGAAATAAAACTAAAGAACAAACAGTGAAAAGAAGAATTCAACTAATTCCGATTGAGAATGATAAGTATGAGCAAAAACTCCAGGTTGATTATGATGTTGCTTATCATGGTGGCGAAAAGAAAATTATTGTTAACCGTGGAAACCGGCGACTTAGTAGTGAAACAGAAATCCTTGAATGCAGCACAAGTTCTTTACTATCTTCAGATACTGGTTATGGGAACAAACAAAGCTTTAATATGTTAAAAAATTGTTTGGATTCTCAGGAAAAAGACAAAACAGTAATATCTGTAAACCAACAAGACACAGTAGAACAATCATTTGATAAATTTGGTGGCAGTAGCAGAATCGAAATAAATGAAATGTCCAGTTGTTTCAATAAAAAAGAAGTTACAAAAGAATCTTTAGTGAAGATTCATGAAAATCTTAAATCGGTTTCAGAAAATTACCCAAATCGCTTAGGTAGTAATGAAAGGGTTTGTAGGGATTCCATTGTGACTTCATCAAAATCAAGAAATCACAGGAGTCATCATTCAAGAGAACAAACTGAAAGAGAGAGGGACAACTCAAGATATGAAAAAGAGTCACCTTCTCCATTAGAAAGAAGGAGAGATCGAGATGAATGTGGCAGGTATGATAGAAGGGATAGAACAAGATATTGTGAAAGATGGAGGAGAGAGTCAGATAAGAGAAATCAACCATCGCACAGGTATGATAGGAGAGGTTTTTCCACAGATTCTGAAGTTAACAGACGTAAATCAAGAAGACATTTTAAATCTCCTGCTCATGACGTTGAAACTATTGAACAACTAAAGAAGAGCCTATCCAGGATTGAACAAAACGATTTAGACAGAGTCGATACAATAGAGGAAAGTACTAAAGTAACATTACAAAATGAAGAGAAAGTAGATCCTAGAGCAGCCCAAATCTTATCATACAGCGATGTCGAGAAAAATGATTCATCAAGGGATGGAGCTGATAGCTTGATGGATTTTGCAGTCATCTCGAAAACAAAAGATAAAAGGTAAATAGAATAAGTTACAATTTTGCATGGACTCTATTTAAAAATATAAAATAACTCTTTGGATCTAAAATGTACAAAATTTACAACGGTTTCTTTAAAGTCAATCTTACGACAAAATGTACTGCAGCAACTACTACTCTACATTGAATCATGTTTAATATATTTTTAAATCTGAAAATAACGGAACATTTTAGTTTGTTTTATTAAATAACTTCTTCACAAGACGGTAAATAAGTAGTAATTCACAAATTCACTTTTTTCAACCAACAAGAATAACTCCAACCTCCAAAACTTGCATTGATAACATATTTTCTAACATGAAATTGATTTCAGATAAAGCTTAAACCCAAATTATCAATGCAGGTGCATCTGATCATGAAGCAATACTATTATCACTAGCTGACTTAAAACCACCCCCCTCAGCTTTAAAAAGATCAAATATTTCTTTTAAAAGGTCATTTAATTCAGAAAATTTAAATTATTTCAAAAATAGTCTTATTGAATCAAATTGGAAATTTAATCCTTTTGAAACTTTAAATACAAATTATAATAGCTTTTTAGATTGCATCCTGAAAAATTTTAATCAAGCTTTCCCTCTTAAACAATCAAAATGTAATTCTGTTAAACATGCATCCAAAAACTGGATTACACTTGGTATAAAAATATCCGCTGAAAGAAAACGGCTTCTCCCCAAGATTATGTAAAAACATACAGGCAAATATTCAAAAAAGCAATTGAACTCTCTAAAAAGAAATACAATGATCATTACATTAAAAATTCTCTTAATAAGACCACAGCAACATGGGACTTTGTTAAGAGGGAACTTGGACAACAAAAGGAAAAATCTGAATTACCTTATCATGTTCAAAACGATTCCTTGAAACTTACACATTTGGCTAATAATTTCAACAACCATTTTCTATCTGCACATACATCAGTAGGGTGTAGTCCTAAAGCCAAAGAGGCTCTGAATTTTATAGATTCAAAGTACTACAAAAATACATTTAAATTCAAACTAATTACCGAATCAGAAGTAAGGAAAATTGTATTTTCCTTAAATAACACAAGCTCTGTCGGTTGGGATCAGATTCCATTGTTCTTACTTAAGCATGTAATAGATGAAATAAAAACTCCTCTCTGTAATCTCATAAACCAGTCCTTAATGCACGGTATTTTCCCAAACAAACTAAAATACTCCAAAATTTTACCACTCCGTAAGAAAAATGATAAAAACACTTTAGAAAATTACCGCCCAATAGCTATGCTCTCAAGTATATCTAAAATATTCGAAAAATGTGTTGACCTACAATTGAGAACTTTTTTAGAAGATAATAATATTTTTAATGATTCCCAATTTGGATTTAGAAAAGGATTAAGTGCTCAACAATCAGTGACTAAATTAGTAAACTGTGTTGCGAGTTCCTTGGATGGATCTCAGAAGACAACTGGAGTTCTGTGTGACCAGAGCTTTTGAATGTGTTCATCACAGTTTGTTAAGAGACAAACTTGAAAAATATGGAATAAAAAACAAGGAACTAAATTGGTTTTCTACATACTTGAGGAATAGATATCAAAGGACTAAAATTATCAAATTTGGACATACTATAAATTCTAATTGGGAAAAAGTTGAAGTAGGGGTGCCTCAGGGATTAATATTGGGCCCCTGTCTATTTCTTATTTATGTAAATGACCTACCAAATGTGTTAAAGATGGATATATTTCAATTTGCTGATGACACAATGCTGTTATGTAAGGGACCCAATGTTGAATCCCTTCAGCACACAGTAGATACAGAATTGGCCGCTTTAAGTTAGGGGTGTGCGAATAGTGATTTTCAACCTCAAGCCGAGCCGAGCTTTTTAAAAAAATTTCAACCTCGAGCTTTTTCGAGCAGAGCTTTTCTAGCGTCACCTTATCTAAATTATTAAACTTTTTACTCTTAAAAAAGTGCATAATAAAAATAATGTTTAGTCAATTTTTAAATAAACACAATGTTAATTTAATATGTTTTAAAACATTGAGAATTGTCAAGACATCAAATAGTAGATAATCACGATAAGAACTGAACTGAACTAAATTAAGATGCAAGAAATAAAAGGATATCGATTAAAGGCCTGACGAGATATGCAATGAAGACTGAGACAATCAGATTGTCTTTCATAACAGAACAGCAACGCGACCTTGAATGACGACAAAACAACTAGCAAGTCGATTGCATATGTATATTTGAACTACTATGAATATTTAATTCTACATAAATAAATACAAAATACATTTTAAAACACGTGATTATTCTTGTTGTTTTCCATGCACAAAATATTTTAGTTTTATAAATCATATTAATCAAAAAAGAACATAGTTGGTTTGGATCCAAAAAGGTGGAGAGACAAGTAAAAAGTAAACTTATATATTAAAAAAGATATAATTGACATATGGAGGAAATAGACCAAAACACTAAAATTAATAGAATAACACACAAAGTAAACAAGAAATGAAATAAAGAACACAATGAATTAACACTGTCACTCAATTTTGTTATCTAGAAGGGTCGGGCAACTAATCAATAAATAGCCAAAACCAGTTCCCTCCCCTTCTTGCAGTCTCACCACCACCCCTCCCCCCTAAACCGGGAGGCCCAACACTCTGTCCTTGAAACACCCATGTCCTTTGTACCGAAACAATAAACCCTTACACCCGTGTTGCTGTTTTGACAATAGGTTTATGAATGTGATCACTATTTTTCATTTTCCAGAATTAACTATCAATTATTATTATTTGCAAGTTACAAATAGGAAACTACATCACATTATGGTATTCAATGACCCATGTATTATTATCAAAAATTAATAATTCATTACTTATTTTGATAATAATAAGCATTCATTACAGCTTGCACCACTTATTGATACATATAATCATCAAGGTGACTGTTATTTTATACAAAATAAAATAGGTACAAAATTGTGTGGCCAGTCAAACTTAATAAACAAACGTTTTATTCTATAAAATACAGATGGTTAATAGGGGTTGGTTTAAAGGAAATAAAATACAAAACAGATAATTATTTGGATAATCATTAGAAAGGTTATGGGATTGATTGAACTTAAAATAACTGCAGGGAAACCTCTAAGTAGAAAAGTCGTCAACCACAATCTGTTTAATCAGTACATTGTTAGAGAGAGAAAGAAAGAGAGATAGCAGATAGGGGCGTTTGATAAGGAATCTGAAAAAAGTAAACAAACAAGGAACAACGAGACGATACTCGTTTACAGCCTTATAGTGTCGCCCACTACATTTGCACAAGTGACCACTTTTTGTTTCTTCCTTATCTTTCATCCCTCCCAAAATAGAATTCCTGAAATAGTTTGTTGGTATAATCTCCCCTCCCACACAAGGCGCAGTACTCAGTGCGCACTGTAGGTTGTCACGGCAACCGTGTGTCGTCATAGCGACAAGCCAATCACGCACTCGCACTGCGTTGTATATTACGATACGAATAGCTGTGTTAGAAAGACAACGCGATAGGTGGTAGTTTGTCTCTTTCCTATCTCCTCAAAATTACGATCGATAATCATTGCGTCTTGACTGATCTGAGGTTCGTGATTATCAAACCTCGAATGCATGAACAACGTAGAATTGTGATAACATTGTTTTCAATTATGACCCAAATTAAGTGTTTTTTTTTTTAGTTTTGACTTAGTATTAAAAGCTCGGCTCGAACTTCGAGCTTTTTCAAAATGCCTTGAGCCGAGCCGAATAATGAAAAGCTCGACCAAAAAGCTCGAAGATTCGAGTACTCGCACACCCCTACTTTAAGTGACTGGTTTAGAGTAAATGGGCTCTCCTTGAACATGGACAAGACTCAAGAAGTTAATTTTCGACCAGATCATAGAAATAGTTTAAAACAGACCACTTTTACAAATCATCAGTTAATGTCTGAGGAGACAGCCAATTTTTTGGGTATTCATATAAACGAAAATCTTGACTGGCTTCCTCACATTGACAAACTACGGAAAAAACTTTCTTCAGCAATATTTTCTCTCAAAACAATTTCTCAAGTTACAGATACTAAAACTCAATTAACAGTTTATCATTCATATTTTTCATCATTAATGTCATACAGAATACTTGTCTGGGAAAATTCTTGCCATGGTAAGAAGATTTTTAGGCTTCAAAAGAAGGCACTTAGAATCATAGCTAAAGTACCCCGAAGAAGTCCGTGCAAAGTCATCTTTCAGGCTTTTAGCGTTTTGACATTTTATGACCTGTATATTTTAGAAGCATTATTTTGGGTATTCAACAATTTGTCCATTTTCAGGGAGGGTCACACAAACCATAGGTATAACACTAGACATAAGAACCTAATTAAGCCCACTAGCCATAGATTATTACTATTTGAAGCATCACCTCAATATATTGGACCGAAATTGTATAACTTGATTCCTGATCATTTAAAAAACATTGCAAATCCAAAAAAGTTCAAACAAAAATGTAAAGAATGGTTATTGACAAAAACATTTTATTCTTTAAATGAATTTTTAAGTGGAAATTGGGAGGGTTAAGTGTTGAAATTATTTTATTTGGATTTATTACTATTTGGATTTAAGTATTATATTGCATTGACAAATGTCCTGTCATTTTATGATGTAATGGCATTCTGTAAATAAATAAATAAATATACAAAAAACATGGTTAGTGGTGATCGATTTCAATTGGACACTCCAATCATTATCAGACCCAATAGGCAAGAATCTTGAATGGCGTCCCTACTTATACCCTATTGGCTACCGGAAGCACCGGCCAATACATTTTTATAAGTACAACTGGAATAGAAATTTACTTGTTCATTAATCAACTTATTTCTATTTTTACATTTTTCCTTATAAATATACAATTCTTTCCAAGAATTCATTACATATCCTTTCTTACAATTCTTTAAAATACATAAGACTATCCTTAATTTTTCCTATTGAGTGGCCATTTTGTAACAGGTGTTGTGCGACATTTGATCTCTCCGGTTTGTTGTTCCTCCACGCAGATGTGTGGTTTTTGAAGCAGTTAACGAAGTTCACAGTCTGTCCAAAGTAAGAAGCTATCACATTCGTTACAATTGATTTTATAGATGCCCGAAGCGTCGATTCATAAGGGCGGGTAAAAAAAAACGCAATTAACAGAATGCCAATATAAATCATACTGTTTAAAATTAAATTGGTAATGTTTAAAGGTAAATATATCTTATATACCTATAGAGTAATCTCCAGTTGAGCCCATAATCCCTAATTTTTTTGGGGACACTAAAACTTTTCAAAATCATAAAATGAAACTTTGTGCTGAGTTTGCACGACCACCAAAAGGGTATCTGTGTATATTTTATTATAGTTCAATCTTGAGTATGCTATATCGTGGTTTTTGCAAGTTCTACAGATAAAATACCCTGTGTATGTGTACAAGAAGACTATACTGTGTTCTAACTTAGAAAAATATTAGATGGGGGAGTCTTGACTTTTTATTCACCCTGTATGTACACAGATAATCTTCTTGTACACAGACACAGGGTATTTTACCTGGAGAATTTCACATATTTGGCTATGAGTACTGTGGACCTGGAACGAATTTAAGGAAGAGATAAGCAAGGGGTGATCCAGGCATAAATAAATTGGATGCTGCACGCAAACACCACGATAGAGCATACTCAAGATCGAAGGATAGCAAAATTAGATCAGTAGCTGACAGCTTATTAGCTTGGGAAATGGGAAAGGGTAAAAGCTTCAGACTCATTGGTGAGAGAGCTACCGCCTGGGCAGTTACTAATATAATGAAAACTGAAGCAAAACTTGGTGGGGAAAAAGGGAAGACTCAAAAAAAAAAAAACCAAATAAGAAAGAAAAAACCTGTCGGGAAAAAGAAAATAATCCTAAATGTGCCTGCAAGAGGAAAAGTAAAAGTGGTAAGTGGCTCTATACAAACTCTTAACATCTCTTAACTCTTAACTGGTTTGGACCTTATACAAGATCTGGTAGTAAATGTAAAAAAATGTACTCATAGAAAATAATTGAAAGACTTCCAGAAAAACCATTAAGTAGTTTGGATATAATCAAACTTGGCTAAGGATTGTAAGAAAGGATATGTAATGAATGCCTGGGAATAATTGTATATTTATAAGGAAAAATGTAAAAATAGAAATAAGTTGATTAATGAACAAGTGAACAAGTAAATTTCTATTCCAGTTGTACTTATAAAAATGTATTGGCCGGTGCTTCCGGTAGCCAATAGGGTATAAGTAGAGACGCCATTCAAGATTCTTGTCATTCGCCTATTGGGTCTGATGATGATTGGAGTGTCCAATCGAAATTGATCACCACTTACCATCTTTTTTGTATATTTACCGTCTTGTGAGTAACAGTATAAGCGTAAATATTTGTTTTGTTTTAAGTGTTATAAGACGTCGCTTTTATTTACTTTACATTTGTTTTATTAAAACCAAATTTTCTTCTATTCTATAATAACGTTTTAGCCTCTAAATCAAATAGTATCCACTTCTGGCAGGACTTCTTAAAATTCTAAAAATGATTCTCTATCCTTAGGATACCTAAGTTTTTCTCATTCAGCTGTCTACTTTTAATTTAACCTATATATTTGGTTGTATTTATTTGTTGAAATAAGAGAAGTCACATTGGACCATTTCTGGTTCATATAGAGGCTGGGGCATCATTGAAAGTGATTTAAATTTTATTCCTTGTATAGTAGACTCTCAGTAATCCGGCATAGGACCGTGATACTGCTGGATTAGTGAGAATGCCGGATTACTGGAATGTTATCATTAAAAACACTTAAAATGCAATTAAAACGGAAACCGCTATTGCGGCGATAGGGTATAACGACGATGATGTATTCGTGGGAGACGATGATAACGTCTACACGGCCGCGGGAGATAATCATGATTTTGCCACGATCGTTCATGATGATGATGATGTTTCCATGACCACGGTAGGCGATGATACGTCCGCAGGAGATGTTCGTGAAATTGCCGCGATGGCACATGAAGACGATGATGTTTTCGTGACGGTGGGAGATGTTCATGATTTGGCCGTGATCGCGCAAGTCGACGATGACATTTCCGTGACTGCGGGAGTAGACAATGATGTTTACACGGCTGCGGGAGATGATAAAATCGTTGCCGCGACTGCGGAAGACAACGATAATGTCTACATGACCGCGGGAGATGTTCATGATTTTGCCGCGATCCTGCTTGAAGACGATGACGTTTCTGTGACTGCGGGAGGCGATGATAACATCTATTCAAGCGCTGGAGATGTTCATGATTTTGCCGCGATCGCGCATGACCTCCCGTCTAAAGACGCCGGATTACTGGAGTGCCGGAGTGGTGCAGTGCCGGATTAGAGAGGGTCTACTGTATAAGTTTTCATAAGTAGCTGGTTTTCATGAAATTTGACTGTACAAATTTTAAATGGCCTCCTTTTGTAATTTGCATTTTTTTAAATTGCCAAATATGGTTTGTTTATTAACCAATTTTCACAATCATAGAAATGTGTGAATTATAGTGATAGTGTTATTGGATTTGACGAATCCTGAAATCCCGGGATTGGATTGAAGGTCCGGGTTTGAGACCCCTATTCCGACACCACTATTCTTGGTGGCCTCCACTTCGATGCAGCACTTGGGTCCAGTTCTAAAAGGATGGAAGGGAAAATTGATGCTCCTGCCAAGTATAAATTGCGTTCTCTTATAAAGTTTAAAATTGCTGGAAGGGAAGAACATCCTATAGCAGATTTCAAAAAAACACTTAGGCTCCTACACACTTTTCTCCATTCAATTCTCTGTTAACAGGCCTTGTATTTCAATTCAACAGTGATTGCACTATTGAAATACATGGCCAGTTAATAGAATTGAATGGAGAAAAGTGTGTAAGTGCTTTTTTTTAATCTGCTAAAGGACGTACTTCTTTTCAAGATGATGCTGGCTGCGGGCATCAGTCTCTGTCCAGACATTGATATAATATTAAGATATTTGCTCGGGATCATCTTGTTTAAGACTAGCAAGGTTCACTGAAGCTCATTGTAGTCTTGTAAATGTGCCATATCAGTTTGGCCATCTCTTCCACAATCACACCACCATCTACATGCATATTTCCTTAACTTTTTCTCTACCTCAAATAATCTTGTAAAAGACCACGGCTGGCCGAATCATGCAAATCCTCTCCAACCATTAAGAAAGTTTTTAATGTCCAAACACTTTCTTATACATCCCTGAACAGATAATATCACTAACTGCACTTTAATAGGGGTTTAAAAAAATATGTCACATCTAAGGATACTAAGCTCTAGCAGCCTGGAAGCAGCTTTTACTTTTTACCAGTCCATACCTAGAGGGTTGCGGCATTAAGGCCATTGGTTATTTGGGATTTGAACCTGGAACTTTGCAGCTCGCTCACCCTACTTATAGGGGATAGAGTAAACCCATTAGCCCTAGGAAATCTAACCAAGCATTGGGGTTCATTATTGGTGAGTGCTAGACTTTTCCTCCCATTCTTAAAGGCTACCACGACAATAATAACCATCACAAAGAAATTAAAAGAACATATGTCGCTTGTACCAGATGCCAGATATTAACTACATCGCACCACCATTCTAAACCTAATAACATTTCTATGCACAATGTCGCAAGAAATATGAAAACCTAAAACATTTAGCATATTTTAATTAACTTTAAAGGTTTTGGCTTACAGCTTAAGTAGATGAAGACTTATTATTTCTGTTTCCTTATTTAACCAGCTCTTTTCCAAAATAGCAGGTTACCAGAAAATTTACAGAAGAGCTCATCTGCTTCAAGTGTAAACCAACAAGATTCAACTAAAAGTAACAAAAGGAAAGCAACTAATGCGTTTGAAACCTCTGTAGCTTCTCTTGTAAGTATACAGATTATCTTATACATATAAACATGAATGATGAATGGATGAATTTTGGACAGTTACTATATTTACGTCAAAAGAAAGATTAGCTGTCTTATTCCTTAAACATGGTCACACTAGGTTGGTATCAGCCGCGAATTAAAAGAAGCCGCTACTACCAGCTTAATGTGACCACAAAATTTGCAGCTGGCACCGCCAGCCAGCAAGTATTTGTCAGCGGCTGGTGAAGTCGGACTTGTTTAACTCTTGGTAGCAAGGTTGCGGTGACTAGCAGGTCTCATGATCAATTGCACTCGCTGGCGCCAGCCAAACGCTTAGTCCTACCACATCTAGAAGCGTGCCAGCGGCAAACAAAGCATTATATTTTTTTTTTTAGTAGAGGTTTAACCAATTCTATCAATACTTAGAATTGATGTGGTGACATTCGTAAAACATAACTGTATTTCCATTCTTTGTATCCAAGGCAGGGTTCACCAAGACCTCTTCTATTCTTGCGGTTAAGATCTTTTCAACAAAGTTCTTTCACACACATCCTCAATAATCGCTTAAGGACTAGGTTATGAATACCCACAGACGAAATGGCGACTAGAACTGAGCTTTAAGCTATGCGAGTAGTGTGACCGGGCTGCCTGTCGCCTCTTGGTGGTGCTGCACATACAAATTTTGTATGTTATAGCCCTTTTAATTGTAAACAAAATGGTATAACTCCCATTCCTGTACAAATTACGGTTCAAAAGTTATTGTAACTTTTATGTTATTTTCCCATAAAAAAAAACATTAAAAAGAGAAAATCGGATTTTTGGAAAAAAAGTCGGTTTGATTGAAATTAGTATGTGATGGTCCTTATAACTCTTAACAACTTAGTGCAACCCCCCTGTAAATATTACGTTTTAAAAGTTAACGCAACTTTTGTGATTTTACCCTATTAAATATCATAGTTACTCTCATCGCTTACCCATGATAAAGGTTGTTGGCAAACTAATGGGAGAAAGTATGTGTCAGATTGCTGATACCGTTTATTTCTCTAAAGCTACTCCTTTATGGGCTAAAGGTACAGAGTAAAAAAATACTGAGGGTAAATAAGTCTTAAAAATGCATGCATTGAAAATATGGATTCGGCAACTTTTCTAACTTTTAAATTTCTCATGACACTCCCTGAATTTTATCTTTTATTTAGAATGTAGATGCAATGTTAAGATATATTTATTATAATTAAATCTAAGGCTTACCTTACAATCAAATTTATTATTATGGTGGAGACCTAGGTTTCTACGTCGAAACGTTATCGTCAGTCCTATGTCTCATAGGCTTGCTAAACTTATTGTTTGCCATCTCTTACTTGAGATATTGTTGATTTAGTATAATTTGTACAAACATTGAACACATATAAATATTTACAAAGACATAGATTAAAACAACTTAGTTGCATGGCCATGATCTTTATCAAACCTAACATCCGAAGTTGGAATATGATGACTTTCACTTCTAGCAGCCTGGTCTTATCACTCCATAGAGTTATGTATTTTTTGCAAACAGGTGTTTGATAATATTGTATTACATTATTTATTTCTTATTTCAATTAATGAATCAAACATGATGTTAGCGACAAAGTTTCTTTGGTCATTTAGTATGAGGGATGGGTCGGTTTTGGTTGCGTTATAGTATATATGAAAATGTTCTATTGTATTTAGCTTGTTGCTTTTGGGGGCTTTATGCAAGATTTCTAAGTTGGTATCTTTTGAGGTGTAGGAATGGTTTTCTGAAATTAGATGTTCGGAATAGTTTGATGGCTGAGTTCTTTTTGGGGAGATGTTTTTAGAAACGCTGGTGGAAACTTCTGCCCGTTTGCCCAATATAGAATTTAGGGCAAGAGCCACAAGTTAATTTGTAGACTCCTGTACCTTCAAAGTTGTCTACAGTTGTCGATTGCTTTGTGTTTAACAAGCTCCCAAGGTTGTTAGTCGATCTGTAGGCAACTTTGAGTCCCTGTTCTTCCAAGATTTTATGGAAGGAGTTGTTTATTTTTCCGTGGTAGGTTGTGGTCACAAATTCTTTATTGGTTTTGGGCTCTTGTTTTCTTTGGTTTAGTTTTTGTTTCATTAAAATCTTGGAGATAAGGGTTGGGTGATAATGATTATTAACAGCTATTTGCTTAATGATGTTCATCTCTTTTTTGTAGTTCTCTTCATTGAGTGGGACATTTGTAAGCCTATAAATCATACTGTGGAAAGCTGCGAGTTTGTGTTGGGTTGGATGGTTTGAATGGGCATGGATTAAGTGGTCTGTGGCAGTTGGTTTTCTATAGATATTGAATCTGAAGTGTTTTTTTTTCTGGTGGTGGTTAAGTCTAGGTAGTTAAGGGATTTTTCAGATTCTATTTCTAGGGTGAACTTTTTAGTTTTGGAATTTTCAATGTGGTTTAGGATTATTTCGGACATTACTGCTGATAGGGGAGAACCCATGGCTAGCCCTTTGTTTTGGGAGAAGAACTCGTTGTTGTATTCAAAATAGTTTTGTTCCAGGACTGTTTTTATTAGATTCGTGAGGTCGTTGATGTAGGCGGTGTCTCTAGTTCCCTGTTGTACTAGATTTTCTCTTAGTATTTCAATTGTTTCGTTTATGGGTATGTTTGTGTATAGGTCTTTTACATCAAATGATGCCAGCAAAGCTGTTTCACGAATTTTGGTGTTTTTAAGTTTATGTATCTAATCTAGCGAGTTTTTTTAGGGATCAATCATTGTTCAGTTTTATTTCTTGGCGGATTATTCTGTTAAGTAGTTTTGAAAGTCTGTAAGATGGAGAATTTATGGAGTTTACCAATGGTCTGATAGGTTCTCCAGGTTTGTAGAGTTTCGGGAGGCCTCTGAATTTTGGAGCATTTGGTTTGATTGTTCTACAATGTTACTTTTGGTTGTTTGCTAATATTGTTGATTTGTTGATGACTTTTGTTATGCATTCATGGAAGGATTTAGTTGGGTCTGTCTGTAACTTTATAATGTTGTTTTCATCAAAGAAGTTCATTATTTTATTATGGTGATGATCATTGTTTACTACTACTACCGTGTTTCCTTTGTTATAGAAGCGTTTGATTCCTGAAGTTTGGTTTTTATGTTTTTCAAAGTTTGGAGTTGGGATCATGCTGTTTTATTTTTAGGTTTTTTAATGTCTCATCAATTTATTGTGAGTGAGGATTTTGGTTTGATTTTGGGTTTCTTTAGGTAGATTTTGGATGGTTGACTCGAAATCTATTATAAGGTTGGAGTCATTGTTTTGAGGAATACTGTGTTTCAGACCTTTGTATAACAATAACATTTTGACGTAGAAACCTAGGTCTTCCACCATAATATGGATTGTAAGGTAAGCCTTAGATTTAATTATGTTCAATAACGATCCAGAGGCTATATCTCCAAACAAACAAAAAATATGTATTTGTTCTTTGAAAAAGTGCAAAGAATAAAAAATTTAAGTTGCATTTGCATTCTAAATCAATCATAAAATACAAGCTGATCCATAAGGAATTTTATAGTTAGTCACCAAATTGGAAAATGGCGGCCATACTTGAAAAAGTGGAATACATATTTTTTTATGTCATAAGAAAATAGTTGAAGTTCTCCATTAAAGGTTTTCATTAATTCTAATAGTTCCTGAGATGGCACAGTTAATTCTTTGTTTGAAGTTCATTGTTGGTGATGGTGAGTTAATGTTGTCCAAAGGTTTATTGCGGACATTTTTCATCACGATGGTAAAAAACAATACACAACGTTTCGGGATCTGAAATCTTATCCCGTCCTCAGGTGAAAAATCTTAACTAACACATTACAACTAACAATACACAAACGCCCAACCTAAGTTGTAACGTTGCTAGTAAGGTTTAAAACAAGGGGAAATCGGACTGATCACCCGATAGGAATTATTGCTGTTGGAGGGACGCCTTCAATTGCCCCAATACAAAATATTACTAGTAGGTCTTGCAATTGCCGCCTCTCCACTGAAGGAGCAAGATAAATTCAATCTGTAGCAAAGGGAGCTACACATGCCGACCATCAGTAGCCCTCAGGTTTGTGCATGAGTACTGATAAGCCCAGCTGATGGATAAGGAAAACTGTGCATTTATGGAGTGGATACCGACCTGACTGACTGTGGATATCCAGGACAACACCCTCTTCTCTTCAAGAATATTTTAACGAGGATATTATTTCAAGAGGGTTTTTGGCTAATGCTGCTGGGATTTCATCTAACAGCCTGGACACTCTGGTCACTGCTTTGTACCCTACCGCACTTGGTCTACCCACTACTATGTTTCTGGACTGCCTGACTCAATCTGACTCTGGTCAATCACCACTGATGCTGTGGACCTACCTACTTCAGACTGAGCCCGAGATCATCTGTCTTCAACCGATAAGTCAGACATAGTGTCAATATTGTGGAAAGTCAATGTAAAGTCAGTAGGGGAGAGGGGGGCAAGAGTGGACAAAAAATACATTTTATTTTTTTTAATTTTTTCTGTTGGTTAAATTAATTGAAATCAACACTTAATGTAACCTTTAACTATTTGTTATCAACTTTGCATACTTGATAAGTAAGATAAAACATTTTTTAACTATTTTTTTTATAAAATCGTGAAAAACTGCACCGTGTCCACATTTGCCCCCACTGGGGGTAAAAGTGGACATTGTGAGTTTTTTTCGGGGTAAAAGTGGACAGTACAAAAAAAATAAAATTTTGCAAGGGAAAAAATATTTATTACTGTAAACACATACTATAAGCTTCAGTGCTTATAAAATAACAAAAATTATCAATGAAAATCAAAATAAAAATGCAAATTTACATTTATAGAAAAAGTTCTAACTAATAAGCTTCAATTCTTGTTACTTTTTTCTCAACTTTCTGAAATTAGCCCATGTTAAAGCCAGAAAAGTTATACTTAAAATTAAAAACACTTATGGCCCTTTCTGTTCCTCCAACAACATTTGGTTGAGGCAATTTTACAATGATAT